TTTTTTGGATGGACTCCAACACCGATTCCTCGTCTAGACTCTCTTCAATTTTGCTGTCAATCTGAGTAAAAAAAAAAAAAAAGCATATATATGAAGGATTCAGAGACATTTACAAGGTGTCCACTGTGTAACATTAGATATGTTAGATATGAAAACATACCTGGGAGAGAAATATTTACAAAAAACTTTGATATGGTTTTAATCACTAACTAAAATAATCGGAAAAACATTTCATGTGTTTATAAACCAAATAAAATGAAAATGTTGGATGAACTTCGTACATGGAATGTGAATTATCTGAACTTTCACTTTATATTTTTACAAAACTGTATATTATAATTACTTTTTTGTTGACACTTTGGCTAGATAAACAGTGTATTGTATTATGAAAGAAAGACCACCACAGTTATTACTTTATTTCATTCAGAAATAATTTTGATTAAAGAGTTAACATTAAATGTGACCTAAAATATTTTCTTTAAATCTAGGACACTGAATGTAGAATATAATACTGAGCGATGAAGTCATGTCTCACCAGAATATTGTCTGGAACCTCGCATGGGAGCCGAGCCTCGGTTCCAAATAGGACAAAGAATGGTGAAAACTTTGTTGTTGATTGTTTTTTGGTTCTGAGACCAAACATCACAGCATCCAAATATTTGTCCCATGTGTTCGGCCTCTCTTTGACAAGTTTGCACAGTGATCTGAAAAGAAGAATGTTATAATTTGATAGCAAAAGTAACTGAATGACAACCAATCCAGTAGCTACTAGCGCGAAAAGGGATTCCTCTCCTACAGGCAACTGAAGGAGAGACAAAGATCATGCTAACATGAACAATTTTTAACTTCAAAATAAATAATGGCATCAACAGTTTATGGAGAGGACTGTAAGGGTATTTGATCTATTTTTTATGTAATAGCTGACATCTGCATATAACCACATTGCCAAAGAGGACACAGTCTGTACATAATGTTCATACAGAATATTAAAAAGCCTGCACTAAAGTCAAAAAGAAAAATAACTAAGAGCAATAAAGTGATATTATAACAATTTAATTACCTTTGAATGGTCCCATTTAGTTTTTCAACTAACCCATTTGTTTGTGGGTGATACGGAGCACAAAGGCTCCGCTCAATGCCCAGAGTTCTGCATAGCTCTTTGTTCAGCTGATGGGAAAAAATAAGAATCAATTTACAAGTTTTCCATTAACAATAAATAATTTTGATCAATAAATAAACATAACTACATTTTGCTTAAAAATATATTGCATCACACACCAATACAGTTCACTCAAAAGTATTTAGCAACACACCTCATTAACAAATTCCTTCCCTTGATCAGTGAGGATTCGCTTTGGAGCCCCAAAGCGATAAAAGAACTTAATAATGCACTGGGCAACATCAGCTGCTGACTTAGATGTCAAAGGAAAAGCCTCCGGCCATTTAGAAAAATAATCAACCATCAYGGCAATGTATTGATTATTATCATCGGTTTTCACAACCTTCCCAATAAGGTCCATTCCAATGAGTTCAAATGGTTTGCTCACCTAAAAAAGGACAATAAAATACAGAATTACACATTTGAACAGGGATAATAAAAAAAAAAGTTCATGTTGTCTTTTTTAATGTATGTCAATTACTTCAATCGGGATTTGGCGTTTTTCCTGCTTTATTGTCAGCGCACCATGCTGGCACTCTGCACACTCTCTGACCTGAAGAAAAAACCTTTTTTTTTTTTATTAAAATGAAAATTATAAAAAATCTGTAATAAACTAACAAAATACTTACATAATCTCAGACACTACATAGATTAATATGCAAATAAACATAGCTGTTAAAAAATTTATTTGAAAAATTTCTTTTTTAAAAAATCTTATTGTTTCTTGTTAAAACTACAAAGAACTACTTTCCGCTACAACCTATTGCATTATGTTGAACACCATTTTCTAACTTCTATATGTGTCGTATTAATGACAATGTACTRGTCTATGAGAAAAAGTAATGTAAAAATTAAGTTAAATTTAAACATACTTAATCATACTTTTATTATGCATAATGACAAGTATATTTCAAGTRTACTTAGAATTAGTTTACTTAAAGTGTGACACTTTAGAAATACTGATTTTGTGGTTAGTGTTTTTAGGTATGATTTAATTAGTATTGAAGCACTATTTAAAGCATACTTCAACTTAGTTTTTTCGGACACACTTCAGTAGAAGTAGAGTGTACTTTAAGTGTGCTGTTTTAAATGTACTTAAAACGCGATTGATTATTATATTTTCATTTKAGTATTTTTGTTATTGAATTAGATTTAAGAAATAATTTGAATGTATTTTAAGTACATTAAGTATATATAAGGTGTGATTACAGTATGCTACAAATACCAACACATTCTCTAAACAAGTACACTTTGTAGTTAGTTRATGTCTTTGATTATTCTGCTTTGCCACATTCTACATTACATGCTTCACAATCATCAGTACTGAGAACATATCAGGTATCATAACGCAGAAAGATCCATTTACACACACTTTAAAGGTGAAACTAATTACATTTTGCTTTCAATATATTACCATATTGGTAACACTCTATTTGAAGGGATGTGCATAATACTGACATGACACTATCATAAACACAACCCCTTTTCATTCAACTTTTAAAGCAAATTCTCATTAAGTGTCATTATTTACTGAATGACAGTTCAAGATATGTTCTTAACAGGTGTTATATCATGTTTATGGCAGTATCATATCAGTCTTATGCACACCCCACCAACTAAAGTCTTAGAAATACATATACAAATACAAATACTTTTTTTTCACCTGGGCTGTAAAGCAGTGTGCTAAAGTAATAAACCTGTCATCATATTGTCATTGTGAGACTTGTTTTATAAAAAAAAAAAATACCTACCCATTTTTCAATATCTTTGGTCATGCCAGGCCAGTAGAACCTCTTGGTGATCGTGTGT